GCATCGGCTCTGCTCCGGGTTTTCTGTCTGCGGTCATTGCAAAACAAGCGGTTGGTGCTCGAAGAAAACTCTGCCGCTCAGACACATCCAGTGGCATACAACCAATGGATGCGCATACGCTCGGACGAGACGCAAATCGGCGCCGTTATAATAATCGTACAATCACTACAGAAACCACTACGATGAGGTCTATGACTGTCTGTAGCGAAGGCAACATAAAGAAATAACCTGTTCATGCAGAAAGACTCACTGCGAGTATCGTGTAGGAGGCGCTCAGCCGCGTCTATCTAAATGAGAAGCACGGGCATACGAAGTTACGAAGCCTGATTATATGAAGGGGGAAAAATTGGCGTATTCGGGAAGCTCTCCTGTTGTAGGGGCTTAGGTCTAACTCGATATAGCAAGTTTGGGAAGGTACCTAGCCAAAGAGCGCAGCAAGAAAGGGTAAGAGTGTCGATGTGGAGGTTGAGAAAGGAAGAATCCCTCGAAGTTACAAAGGGCGAAGGTAGACAAGGAGCAAACGAAAACATTTCGTCAAGTGGCGGATGATGCGCAGCAGTCCCTTCCGGTTCCGTTAATTAAAAAACAGAATTAAAAAAGCCGAATAAATATAAACCATGCCGATCAGTTTATTCAAGATTAAAATTAGGGCTGGTAATAGGAAAAGATAGCATAAGAAAAAATGGTTCAATTTTAATTGAAAGTTGTTTAATTGAACGTTAATAATGAAAACTTTGAAATTTGGCTCAATCAACGATCATAGATAATATAATAATACGCAACGTTCTAGTTATAACGTAACACTTACGAATATATTTAGAAGTATAAAAACAGCTAACTTCACCTCATCCATCTCGAGTGAAGTAAGATGAGCGGATTTTCTTCATGTTGGTCAACCATGGACTTACAACACGTCGCAGAACAATTCGCCATTACGATGCGTTTGGTGATGCCACTCAATCTGTGATAGGACATAGAGTTTTGCATCATTGTGATCTGCGCTGCCGATTGGCGTCCTTTCAGTCCAATTCTCTTCCTTGCTGAAGCCGAAATCTGCCAAGTTTGAATAGATATTCTCGTAACAGGCTTTTGAAGCTTATTTAAAACGGATAAGAAGCAGGAAGTAACCACTGTGATGAAACACAGCGATTGTAGCTGCAGATACACCGTTTGGTCGTCACAAATTGTTTATAACGTGGTCAGCAGCATTAGAACGTGTTCGTTTGATCGGTAGTAAGAAGTAATGTGCATAACTAAAAAAAAAAAAGTAATTAAAAGAACTCGTCAAATAGCGCCACAAGAAAAATCTATAGTGAACATACCAGAAAATTAGGCAGCGACTAATTTTTTTTTTTTTTATATAGGGAAATTTCAAATTGAACAGCGTAAACCGGAATGGCAAAATCATTTTTCGTTATTAATGAATTACATATATATACCATATTGAACAAGTCATATGTGGGACTCAAAGTCAGCACATTATAAGAAGGCTAATTTCCGGTACGATGCGACCTTCCCGAGCAGACAGTAATTATCAACCTATTATCAGCGTGCATCTGTTGCGTGAAAACCGTAAAATATACAGGCGTTTATATTATTAGCTAACATTACTATTTCATTGTTTAATATCCAGGAGCATATTAGTACACCGCACGCCTCATAGTCATGATAGGCCAGCCAGGAGTAATGAGATTGTTGCCACTGTCGAAGCTGGCTAAAATGGCCGTAAGCGTATACTGTTGCATCGCCCGATAACATCGATATGTGGGCTCAAAGACGGATCTAGTGACTTAATAAGGGCCTTTCTGATCATATGACTGCTTAACTTGATTAGAAGAGTCAGCACGCCGACTCTACCAGTGCACAGCTCATCAATCTGGGCCGAATTCTAGCGCGAACGATGCTGAGGCGGCCAAGCATGCGTAACCAAGCCAGGCTGGGTCGAACCAACTCAATGAGGTTCTGGAAGGGTCGTATAGAAAAGGGGCGACTATACGTAGAAAAATAGACCGCCTAAATCTCCTGTCCATCTGCACCGAGAAGCCCTAGCTCTCTCCATGGAACCTCCTGAGGGATTTTTTGGCCACAGCTGTGGTTACTTTTTATGATTAGCGCAGTGAGCGATGGTTTGCTTATTCTACTCACTGTGTATCCGCTGAAGTTAAAACGATAGACGCAATCTCTTCGGTTAGCAAACGTAATCTCATCTGATTCTCTCTATGCTTTACGAGGGATCCTCTATCAACACCCGAGACAGAGAGAATAGGCTGTGCACTTATAGAAAAATATGATACCGATCTAGTTCACTGTCAGAGACCACGAAATTGTTATGAGATATATAGCCGTGTTAGCGCGTCGAACTAAATATGAGCTATAATAGCTAACTGGTTCGATTCGAGTGAACTATAAGTTAGGCTAAAGTTTGCTTTGCTCGCGTCCTTTGGCCTTCGCCTTTACGCGAGACTACGCTTGAGGCGCTAATCAATGCTACATAAATGAAATATCACGAAGAATTAAACAGAAGTCGGCAATATGGGCAGCCATATAGATCTAGGTGGCCATGGCGTCAGATAGCGCACGTATAACTAGCTCTTGGCATAAGCCGCAGCGTTGCGTACATTTTTCGGCTTACGTTGTGTACTGCTTGTTGTCACCGATACTACGTTGACTTATATATGTGCTGATACTACCGAACGATACGACACTATTTTATTAACACGAGAAACGGACGCTGGTGACCACCAGGGGTTTGTGCGATCTATCAAAGTAAAGTTATTTTATATAATAATTTATTTAGCACTCGTTCTTGCAACATATAATAGACCTTTTTATAGAAATGCGTGAACACATTTTACGGTACCACCGAAAAACTTAAAAGATTATCTGATAAGAACCTGAGTGTCTCAAAAACAATGAACGAGCTGTTCGTGTATGCTATAGTTTTTGTCTTAATCGCAATGCTAAACATAACGGGAGTGTTATCGTGCATAAGTTCGACTATTAGTCAAACAAACACATCTGTACTACTTGTGTATGCTCCCATTATCGCATTGAAGTGAGGTACAATCAACTGAAGCAACCACTTTGTTAAAACTAAATTGTCTGACCTCCTCTGGTCTAATTTTAAAGGACAGTTGAAAGCTTTTTTTAAACTCGAACTCTAGATTTAACGAATCTGGACTTGTGATAGTTTATTTAATGTCGCATAGGCCATGTTGTTATACCAACTCATGCCACGCTACATGTTTGGCTCCCGACAGGTTTTTAGCACCTAGGAACTACCGATACAATTTATCCTTTTGTGAAATCTTATCTGGCGCAGGAGCGGATACAATGGAACGACGGTTATTGTTACCGCCATCACTTCAATGAACTGTAATCCGCAGCCTCTATATTAGGTAGATACACAAATCGTATAGGTTGCGTTGTATGACGCAAAAACGACGGCCACCGGCTGACTCTGTTCCCTGCGGCGGGGGAAACCCGCCGGCTTAAGCTTTTCCGACCTGCTCGGCTGGATGAAGCGTCGAATATGAAGTGCAACGATCTCATATCATCTGACAAGTGCAATATATCGACTAAAGCTATGGATAATGATGGACAAGTCTGTACCCAAGTAAGTTCATGTCAGTACACGGTTGTAAAAACGCGCTGTTTGATTAGGGGCCAAAATAACACTGAAATAACATAAGATGTATTACAAATAATTGCTGTTATTGTTGCAATCGCGGTTACAAGATTATTGACAAACAGGTTTTCGTCGACGGTACGAGCAAAGATTTCCAAAACCTTGATAATTTCATAGCAAAAGCATGGCTTTTTTTTTTTCAAAAATAAGACAGACTCAGACACTCCTTGTAAAAATATGCAAAACAGATTACTACTTCTGCCTCTTCGAACTCTCAGCGAATTGATTCACTCTGTCTAAAGATTAATTACTAATACAATCCTAAGAAAATCCAGAACGATCCACTCTGCTTCCACAAGATTGATGCTAATCTTCTACGGTTAATGGCTGGCTGATTTTATCAGCTCGAAGGTTATTGGCTGAGAAGGAAAAATGAAGTCGTTTCTATAGAATGGCAATGGCTGCCGATAATTGCATATAACACACGTATATATATATAGCACAGCTGCCTATGGTCGTTCATGGATGCGGTGCAGAGTAAGGGACATAATATGTCATTCGGGTCAGATTCGACTGCCAAACCTATAAACGCCTACCCTCACGGTACGCAGGCACTAACTCCTTGAGTTAGCGAACAGGACCGACTGACAATCATTGCCGGCATCCTGTGTATGACCTGCTAAGGCCACATTAAAGGTTACAATCACCTTTGACATCTCGAATAGAAGCATCGCAGAAGTGATTGCTTTGTAAGCGCTACAGTGATAAGCAGATAAAATCTATTATATATAGGGGGCAGTGGACGGACACCAATAACCGTTTAGCAGCTAAATGGCTGCGAATGATCATCGCCTATCGTTGTACCCTGCAGGCCAATCCAGCTAATAACTTAGCAAGTGTCTGAAATTTTAAAACAAACATGAAGTACATTGCTGTTCTTCAGAACATTATCGTTGCTTCGAAAACGAGCGAATACAGGCCATTTCACTGCTCCATCGCAGCGGTGCTTCAGCGAACTATCAGGCCTTAGCATGTGCCTTCTCCGGGGTATTGTTGTATATTGAAAATGTTTGGGTAGGTGATGCTGCCACTGGGTACCTTATCTTCTCTGTATACGTATTTGAATTATCAATCCTGATTTGAATACCGTCATTTAGTATTGTAGCTTATTAATAGCATGTGTTAGATGTTTGGCATGATATTTTGATTGACGTTGCCAATACTGGAGAATCGGCCAAAAAACAGTTTTCGACTTCTTTGCAAGGCGCTGGCTGCACTTGAAAAGACCTACAAAGAGGCGCTGTGGGGCGACAAGGGTGTATTTGATTATATCGTGTTTACTAATTCAACCTCACCCTCATTTGGTTTTCAGTGAAGGAAGTTTTCCGAGCTGACCCCGAGTTGATGCACTATCCTTTGTATATCTGCACAGTGGTCGGTATAGCGTTCGCTCTTTTCTTCACAATTATCGGCTCGGTCCTTTCCGTTGTCAATTCGGTGATGACACCTGTCGAAAAAATCAATGGCGCTGTTGGACTATACACTTGGAACGGCCTATCAGGTAAATAAACAACGAATGGTAGATATTGATTCCTATATACAATTTCAGTGAAATTTACAACCCCAGTAGTAGATCGTAGGTAATCCTTTTTTATTACACACGATTGTATCAATGTGGAAGTTTGCCTGGGTACCGAAATGGTGATAATCAACATTGTCTGCCTATATCAAACGTCTTTGTCTCAAACCGAATTGTATTTGTCCGTCCATTTTTCATGCAGAGCGCCAACCTGTACTGCTAAGCCTTACAGTCGTCGGTGCTTTGGGCGTTTATTCGTACGATTCAATTTTGTCACTTTCTTATTCAGCTAATTATTCAAATATACGGTAACTATAAGCTATTCTAGTTTTTGTCGTTTGTACCCTTGACCACACTGAGCCCTTTATACCCATGTGGGCATATTAGCCGTTGTTGGTATACGAGTGCATAAAATATACAATGAAGTTCCTATGAATGGTACTCAAATCACTCGGGCAAGTGAAAATAGCCCCTCGCGTCAATATTTCTATTGATAATACTGGTTAAAAAAAGAAAATTACATCCGAACCCAATATAGATAATTCCGATACGAATCACTACATACATTTCTGGAAACGCAACTATAATAATATACAAACATTACTAAATATATGTATACTCGAAAAACAAAATATAGGTAGTTTGTGTTTGGGTATTTTCACGATAATGTTTTCCTGTATTAGTATAATAAATAGAAGATGCCAGATAAAGGCAGCTTTATCCATAAAGCTCTGACTATCTAAGATTAACATTGTTGAAAGCTTCCAATTAGTTCAAAAACAATGAATAGACACCTGAACACGCATAGACATTGCTTCAAAAGTATAATCGGGTACGCTAATGTTAATGTCCTACCTACAAACCTAGGCACGCACGCCAGTCGAATATTTCCAAAATCCACTCGCCTTAAGTGTCATTACGTTTGTAGCTTACGGAGCCTAAAAAACCTTAACTTGAGTTTCTGTCTTCTTGGGTTGACGAATCAGACTGTCCATAAAGATGAATCATGTAGAGATTTCTAATGAATCAGTTTTTCCAACGACGCGTTTCATCTAACACTTTCTGTATTCTAGGCACTCTAAGCAAATGGGCAAATTTTGTTAGGTGAAGCTCATGCGTGCAAAATAGAAAAAGGGACATTTACGAGCAGCGTCTTCGCAGATATCAGGCGAAGTGACAAGCATCTGTTAGTATGAGGTCGGAGGAAAGCTTTCTTCGCTTTTATGCGAAATCTCGAATAAGGCATCCGCCAGTACTGCCTGCAGACTTACTGGTATTGGATAGAAGCTGTTCGCAGGATGAATCAGAATCCTTTAGCTACGCTCCATACTGAAACGAAACCTTACCATCTGCCTTTTCTTCAATTCAACTAAACCTGATTCAAACACACAAAAGGCCCAAAGCCGCATTAGCTTAAAAATGCTGAGATCGATGGAGAATTAAGTGATTTCGTTTTGTAGCTGTGGATTTAAGTTAGCGGTCTTTTTTTAATCAGGCCAACGGGGTATCGTTAGCAGTACAACATGCCTAGCGGTTGTTCAGTGGAGGAATTCAAAATAACAGTATTGCGAGTCTTTATCCGCTGGATGCAATCGGGTGCCGATAATTCCGGGTTTGAATCCCATGCTACCGCCAGGTAACGTGTTCGACAAAGTCAAAGAGGGTTTATCGTCTCAGTAGGAAATAGGAGAGCTCTATCTGTAGATTTAGTATGGTTTGCATGTTCTTATCCTAGTGCCTCTTATTTAAGGCTAATCAGGGGCTCCCGAGTGTTTTCAATCGGCGTGAGCTGAATCGAAAGCAGGCCGAATGGATTCATGTGCAACTTACTGCCTGGGCCTGATGCTGGCAGCAGAGAATGACCTAGCGTAATGGGAGATTCACCGGAAGGTCACTGCCTTACATGCGCTATGCCACGACCGCTGACCTTTTCACCTACTGAAAGTGCCTTAAATCGGTCGTGTTTTTTCGGTGGCCGTTTGAGACTCTACTTGCGATGTTTGAACGCTTGCGACTTTCAGTCACAGTATGATCTATGTAAACTCATCAAACTGTAAAGCAGATGTAAAAATCGATAGGTGTTTGCACTGCACCTCACAGCCTTTTTTCTAACCGCTTTCTCATTCATCCCCTAACCTCACAAAGCCTCAAGCCCGGAAGAACTTAATTCTCTCAATAGGTCTCACACTGCTCTCGGAAAAATAGAAAGCGCTTTCGATTGGTATTATATCTTACTTGTGGAAAGTAGAAAGGCGCTTTATGTAGAAAAGCCGAGCGGCGCCAAGGGGCTGATTCGTACAAGGTAGCATTGGTGGCATGACGCACCCTTTTCTTACTGGATCATCGTGTATATCGACTGTTTGTTCACGCGGTAGTGGGTGCAAACGAAGCAGAGATGTCGCAATCAGATTCTTACCGCCGACGGTTCTTTTTGTTGTCTGCTTCATAGGCGGCGAGAATTCGTTGCCGAGCAACCACACCATGATTTAACACTTCTCTTAGCCAGCTATTCGCCTTAATAATGGCTACATTTCACTAGGCGCATCGTTTGTAATAGTTAATAGTCATAATGAAATGATGGGAAGATAGCTATCATATCAGCGAGATACGGCGGTTGGATATCCCATCATAAAGTAGAAATTGGCACACTGGTCAGTGTTTGGTGGTCTTGCGTAGAATACTGCCTGTTTCGTGTCAAAGTTCTAATCATTGTGTCAGGCTAGTGAGGCCATCCTTGCAGAAGGTTTCTAGGCTGAATACACGCAGATTTGCGTTACCCATCACACACTATTGCCGGGCTCGTCCCTCTTTCGCTGCAGGCGGGAGCGACACCTATGCTTCTATTGATTCGGCACAGAAAACAAACTATACGACCGATTGTAGCTACGAAGCATTATTTCGTCAGTGCTAGCAGATTCAAGATTATAGATTCATTATCTACTGGAGCTATAATGCAATAGACGTACTTAGTAAAAGTATGAGGTACGTTAGTAGTTTACACAAGGAACCATAACCAATCAGGAGACAGTGTTTCGTGACTCTGAGAAACGCGTGACTAATATTCTGACGTTTTTCTCATATCCGTTACTTATGGAGGTTCACTTACGGTTGCCAGCCTCAGCAACCAAGCATGTCTGCATTGTATAAGGACACTGTAAAGCGAAAGCAAGTTATTACACAAATTTATTAATCTTCGTCCTCCCATGAGGGATATCGGTATCTTGTTAGGTGTCGATGAAAAGCGTGGCAAACAAAAAAAATTTGGCCCTCCATGCGCTACGCAACAACGTAAGCTTTCGTTTTAATCGCATACGAATTACTCTATCGTAATCATCGATATCCTGTTCATAACCATCTCTATTCAACGTAGCTGTCGCTTGAAGTCTAATATTAGACTATTTATGCGCGAACATCCAGTAAATAGACAAGGGTTGAAGAAGACTTGAAGACAATGCCTGTACCAATAGCAGCAGCGCCAATCAGTATGTCCCACAATTTATGCAGCCCTGCCAACAAAACAGTCCTCCACAAAGCATCTAGCGCACATTGTGCGTCACCCACGATCTGCAACAGTGTTCGCTAACGAAACTATCATCGGTTCGCTGTCCCGCACGCTTGTTGTTTCCGTTACCTCAATGGCAACAGATTAAGCAAGCAAGCAAGAAAGAAGGATGTCGTAACTCAAGTCAAGTTGTTGTCTCCCGGTGCAGCTACGGCTGTATCTTCAGGAAGCGCCGGGTTGAAGGACTGTTGGGCGTGAGAGATTGTTCTTGTGCGCTTGAAGACCAATGATAATTTCTGTTCATCATACTTCACACTCGCTTGTAAACAATATGGCAACCTTATTACTCGAAACGTCATTATTACATCTCGCATTCCCTTTCCGTCACTAACAGCAGCAGTTATGCCATGTAGGTCATACGTACTGACTGACTGATAGATAAATACACGATGGACAAACACGTTGTTCACAATCATTGTTATAAAATATATTTCTAGAAGTGTTAGCTACAGGCGTATCTAAGAAAACCGGGTGCGATACGAAGCTGCGTATGCCACAACGTTATTACCATAAGTGACTGAGTGGACTTTGTCTTGTCTTCGTAAGAAACGTATTGATGCAATTTCTGATGATAAGAGTTGTCTGAGCATATTATCGAAGATCCTACAACGATGGCATTACAGAGCAATGGAACAATTGCACTACGTAACTGCATTCAGCTCCCGTCGCATTTGATCTAGTAACGGTGACTTACTGGTAACGACGGGAATTTGATATACACGAAGCTCTTATGTAGCCTTTTTCCATCGTGTTATATTGAAAACACGAGGCAAAACGGCTATAGTGCTCGTAGGAAAATCACCTCGACGGCTTGAAAAGCATTGAATCTTTCCTACACCAGATACTTCTTCGAGGTTTTAGAGTATAGAGGAAATCGGTACGACAGTGAAACTACAAGTACACATACTATGCACGTAGGCCAAGCAGTCTCGTTTCACGCCGAACACAGTTGAATGATCGTGCCCGTTACTACCGCTACCCTTCGAAGGGCTCTACAAGATATTCAGCATATAATTAATTATCTGTGGCTCAAGAAAGGATTGCCCTTATACAGTGATGATAAGGCATGCCGTTTCCTTTCATGTTGAGAGACATAAATGCATATTCGTAACCATCTAGCACTTTGAGAGTCAGTTAATGCAGACCAATGGCTGTTGTCCGCAGTACAATGGTAACATTGAAAGTACGCTAGCCCATTATTTTCGAGGTTCGAGGAAAAAATACGACGCATGCGCTTTTCCGCATGCATAATAAAAACCAGCAGCAGAAGCAGTCAGGGGCCAGAAAGAGATCGTTGTAAAGAGGAGGATCCCAATTTGGAGAGGTTTGTTGGATGAATTGTTAAGTAAAAAGCCACCAGAGTTCGTTCAATAATCTTGGTCCTTGGCTCTTCGCTCTACCTACTTATCTATCAAACCAGCTCCTTACGTTGTTTCGGACTCTGCGGTTTACCTGCAGCCGACCCCTGTTTCTTCCAAAGAGATCCGGATTATGTCGTGGTAACGGTGGGGAGCCTTCAATTTCCTTTATACTTGTTCTAGCTAGGCCCTCGCATAATTGCTATTTCCGCTCGTAGGTGGCAGGTCAGTCGTAGACCTACTATTGAACGAAAAACGTCCGCAAGTGGCTTCTTAATCTATCGGGGCTGACGTGCCGAACGGTTGCTTGCCTTGTTGATTCCCTCAACGTTGACGATCACGTCAAAGATAAATTTAGTTAAAAGAAAATACGTTACGTCGATTTTAGGGACAAATGTTAGATAACTAACAAACGTGAAACGATGTCCTTGACCTTCAGGCATTGAAATAGGACGTATTTATAAAACTTCCGCATTGAGATATTATTAAGAAGTCCGGACACAACCAATCGCAAAGAGAATTTTGATTAAATTCGTATTTTCGGTTCGTGCGTATCTCGTGATTTCACGCAAACGTAGCGCATAAACGTGATCAGATTGAACGAGACTAGTGGTACCTTTTGATTTGTCACAAGGGCATCTGTTGACAGTTCAATGTGATGGTTTCTAAGGTAAGCTTTGAACCAGCTCATTAAACGTGTATCCAAAAACGATAGTTTCGCCATTAATCGATTTAACCGAAAAATCAAACAAAATGCATCGACCAACCGTTGTCGTCATGGAAGAAATCGCTGCCCAATTTTTCTATAACTCCCCATTATTTTCCGTATATTAACAAGCCAAATTGGCAGTTAGTACTGCGAGCGAACATTAAAGGCATAACCCATAGAAGATTCTCAAAAATGCGTAACTGAAGTAATGAGAAATATCCAACACTGGGTACGTCCACAAGACACAAAAAGGCAAATGGTAATTGATCGGTAATACGCTACAGTCCGCTGGCTTGGATTATGAGCGTCAATAATGTATCTAATCAATAGTACCTAATCAAATCGCAGTGGTACCTATTTTTCTGGCTTCTGATTAGTATTAAAAAAGAACTGTACAACACGCCAAGCGGCTTGGGTTCGGAAATTCGTACATATGATGGATTATGTTGGTATGTGAAACTTTTACGGCATAGGACATAGTTGTAATAAAAAGTTTTGGCAGGGGAGCGCATTTAATTGACATTCAAATTTCAAGATCGGCATATACCTAGCTCAATGAAAGGCTTGAGTTGGTATAAGGAATGGAAATTAAAACAGCAATTTCTGAACTTTTGGCCAGTAGCAATGGAATGGACACCCGGCTTCGTTAAGGTCCTAACTCGATGTTGAAGAGCGTGTGGCAAAACTCGATCGACATGAGCATAATGTTATCCATAGGTGTTCGGCTTACAGTTCTTGTTCACGAATGTCTAGGTTTTCGAACTCGAACTTTTTATTTACAGTCTGGATGTGGGTCATAAAAAAAAATGTTTATAGGTTCAGCATGTTTAAATATTGCACAGGTATGTGTTATATTTGGGGAGTTCGTCGTTGTGAACGGCTAAATCTTCGAAATAACTATAAGAGATGATCAAGCCTCTATCAATTTAACGTTGTACTCGTACCCCTTGGCATCTTTCGACCGATGAGGCATGCGCATCCCCTCTAATTGAAATATTTTGTTAAGCAATTGGGTAGATGAAAAATGTATGCGCGTCGTGAAATATTTAACCTGCAATTTTGCATTATACGTTAAATACATCAGCAGCAGTCAATGGCAATTGTGATATCCTGTGTCAAGCATAGCGAAACGAATGGTGCTAAAATATGGACAAGTCGCGAACCCTTGAATACCTCCTCTTGTTTCCTCACAACAACAACGAGTACCACTCAGCTGTGTGACAATGACAGCAAACACTTTGGAGGATCGTTGAAGCAATGATGTTGACGCGGCAATCGGGTAAGATACGTACCAGAGTGGCGGAAAACCTGGTGACGTGGCTTTATATCTCAGTCACTATTGCTTTCGCAGACGCGACTGCTGCTGCTGATGGTGTGATTCTGTGGCACAACTGTCAGGTGGCTATTTGAACGCCTACCGCCGATAATTAGTTGGTCAACTAGTGCTGCCGCTGCTGTCGTCGGCACAGGAGCACAAACCCTGGGCCGTATAAATATCGTTAAAAATCGTGTGGAGGCACTCTGAGCTCGACTGTAAAAACCTGCCAGTATGAGTGTAAAACATGCTGAACGGGTAATGAGCAAGGGGCTGGGCCCTGCTCCGTTCGATTCTGCGCTTCTCTTCTGCTGGCGCTGATTAAAGCTGGTGCCAGCCAAGAAAGAGGAATGAAGGAGCAGTGGCAGAAGCTAGGGGTAAAATAGGACGAAGAGGAAATTGTTTGAGCTAGATAGGGACTACAAGGTCGGCCCTGCTCCAACCTAGCCAGCACGTCACGACGCGTTACGAATTACTGTCGTATTAGCTGTAATTCCTCTCCTTCCAACCGAATTCTCACCAAACTTTTCCACATTTTCCATGATAGATTCACCTCTCAGTCTGACAGGAATTCTGGCCATATCAAACAGTCGAAGTCAGAAATCGAAGTCAGCGCCCGCCAGCATCAGGGACTTCATTACTGTACTCGCTTCCTATAAAGGTCCTAGAACGTTCACTCGCGCCCGTTCAACGATAACCCTGGCAACGGCCGGGCGAGGTGGTGGGAATCGAAACATCGGTGCAGATGTCGTTGGCACCATCGTAACTTAGTTCCTGTCGTAACAACTCCGAAAAATTTGTTGTTCCACCTTTGTTTCAAAAGCGAAAGGGAAGCAATGAATGACAGACAAACCGACAAATGCTGGTCGCTGGCGATTTGAGGCCAATCTTGGCAATTACCGGCAGTAGCGCTATTAGACGACGATTTTTTAAGAACATGGATAAATCAGTAAGTGTGGATTCGAAGCAATGTGAATTTCCCTTACGTTGTTATAACAGCATACGCACACATCTTGCAACTTACTTAGAACCTGCGGATATTTTGTGTTAAATAAAAACTTAAACAATGGTTGTTGTGTCCTGGCAGCCGTTGAATAAATCTGTGATCGCTGATAATTGTACTGGGGAACATCAATCTGAAGTCTTTGTAATATCGTACGAAAAATTAAGGCGATGTATAAAAAAAAAAAAGTCCGCACTATTTCTGTATTGTCGCAATGGCCCGGTGCTCTTCAGTATTCTTGCAGGCCCTGGTTCCCTGGTTGTTGCTGTTGTTATTGTTGTTGTTAGCTTTGCCGTACCCCTAATGGCGTACGCGTGTGCGTGTGTACGTGTGCACTTGTTACGCACCTTCCTTAAACCCCTTTGCAGAGTTGAGCGAAAATGAAACAAAAAGAAAATCGACTGTCTCTTTCTCCATCTGTTCTAGCCCCTGGCACAAGCAGCTTGTGCCTAGTCGTCGCTCTGATACTTTTACTGCTGAAGCAAATGTCAGTTCTCAATGAACTAGCAATATGAGGATTGAATGTCTTGGGCCAGTACGTTTTACCTCAACATGTTGCCTTTTTAAATGGCTTACGTACGCATACTGATAGCTTGGCATTAGTTCAATCTTTACTTTAGCTCACCCGGTCTTACCTGTTATATTATCTCTCCCTATCTAACTCCTCCGTCGCATTGCCATTCCGTGTAACAAGCCCAAAAGGTTATATCAATCTTACGTCACAGCGGCACGCTAAGGTGGGCTGAAGGTCTTTGCATGGGTCTATCTCATCGTCGATCCTCGTCGCTTTCTATTACAAGAAACTGTCTATACGCTTCTGGTAGATAGCCCCCTTTAAAGCGTTCGCTTAACACTTTATCCAGATATTTCACTCCTGTACTCATTACTTTTGGCGAGCTGATTTATCCAACAGGGGTCACCCAATTAGAGTTGAACACAAAATGAAGTAGAAGCTCGATATTCTCCTCTAAGCATATTTGCTTGACCCTCCTGATATATCGTGCATGGTTTATATTCGTTCAGCCGGAAAATGCCAAAGAATTTTAACGCATGGACTATTGCGTAGTACCCTGTACAATTAAGCAGGTTCAATTTTTTCGTTCTATAATCGTTACGATAAAATTAATAGTTTAATAAAAGGAAAATGGTTGCTCATAGCAGAAGAAGCCAGCGTTCCCAGCAAACTAATATCTATCGATGCGTTTAAAAAGACCTTGTTTCCCTTTCAGTTTCTACGACTATCATTCCTCGCTTGACTGCGATTGCAAGCTACGAGGTAACCATTGTCAAGGGTTAATGCTCGCCCTAAGTAGGTCTTCTAGTTTTAACGCACCTTTGCTATCGGATATGCAGCTTCGACAAGGCGAAGAAAGCCAGCTTTTTCTACCGCCGGTTCCACTGCCGATTTTCTGCATTAATTGCCCCCGCTTCAGTTGGCATGGCGGTAACACCGCTAAAAGCTCTCAATTACGAAGCTATTTGAAACAACACTAACGAGCAGCACGAAAGCCCGCTGAAGCTCAACGTTAGCTGGTCCTCTCTCCATTGCGGCCGGCACATTAGTGCGTTTCAAGTTGTTTTGAGCGAGCGTCCACGCGGTATGCGTTCGAAAACGTATAAGGTCGTCCCATGTCAGTAACGAACGGAAACCTGAAAAGCACAATTCGACACGGTCTAGTTCCGTTGGGATAGGGGATTGGTTGATGCTGGAGATTGAAGAGACAAGGTTCGCACGTATTCGAAAAAAGAAAAACGTGAGAAAGATAGGCACAGCAGCTAGGAAGAGAAGGGAAGGCTAAGGAAACGGGAACATTTCGGCAAGAAGCTAGCGGTCGGACGAAGCGGACTCCATCAGGCCACTTTATGCACCGTTACTGCTTTTGCTGTTGCCGCTTTTTGAAAGGCGTCCAAGGGTTTGCCATCCATCCGGCCTTTTCCTGTGCCACATACACAAGCTTTCCATCCACTGCCGTTTCTTTACTGCTATTTCTACACTATATATACACACATGTATTCGCTTTTCGGTTTTCGCTGTGGACGACTGACGCTGTCTGTCCATGTAAAATCAAGCTTGTATTTGACTCAGACACATGCGCAGGGCTCCTGTGATAAATAAACAAGCCTCTTTTTGCGAGCACAATACGATAAGCGGCAATTGAAAGAGTGACATATATACTACTTCCAAAACGCCTCAAGGTTGGGGCGGGTATCAAGCAAGGGGTTGCTTTCGCCAGCGACAGACCATCTGGCCCCCATTATCACATGTACGTGGCCGTTACATTGATTCCACCGATTTTCCGCGGTAATTCTATTGCTCGTCAATGCAGCGCTGGCCGAATCCAAGGAATACAATCGGTAGCTGTCTACTGGCGTACTATATATGCGACTGTGCGGCTTCGAGCCATGACCTTGACGCTTCTTGACACACTACAATAGTGGGTTGGCTTATCTTATTTTCGCCGGATATACTCACAAGTTGAGCGTACACGTTAAAGACTATTTCGGTGGTCAATTTTGGCAGTCGGCGCTGAATTCTTCAGTCAGCGACAAACCGCTAGAGTTCAAAAAGAGTTGCAAGCTTCGAATATGCGAAAGGAGGCGGAGCATTAGCCTTGTATTGAGACAGATTCAGAAAGATAAAAGAGTCGTTTAGAAGACTGTGCATGCATCTAATTGCGATAGATGCATCCACGGTTTAGCGCACCCAAAGCAACAACCATATGAAAAGCTAAGATGAATGAGGACAACTCCGTATCAAATTCAGGACTTCTACAGGATAAGCTTCCATTATGACTGAACGGACTCTGCGCGCACATGCAGTCATTCACACCGCAGGACCCTTCCTTGCTGTGCAAATGAAGTTACGTAAAGATTACGATATCCACCTGAAATTTTGTATCCTAATACCATTGATGTTCACATCAAGATTATGCGACATAATGCATACAAGGCTCGAAACATTGTAAACATGTCTGTTTCTTTAAAATTTCACAGTTTATATGTAATGAAAAGATTGCATTGTTACCCCTCGCGAGATTATATATTTAACCAAATGAACAAGATGAACGCACGTATACATTAATTGTTATCGCACTAAATCCTTCAGTTGACGGGTCTCGGTCTTTAGATTAATCCATTTTTCCTAATACAATTTTTCGATCTCAGTCCTGCGTGCAGTGAGGACTAACTGCAGAATGTTTTAATAATGAACGACAAGACGAAGTCCAGGCCATTAGGAAAATGCATGAATGTCTTGCACGATGTTATTGATAGAGGAAGTATTACAGATTAATCCGTTCTTGTTTCTGATATATCATCCGACAAAGTTCCGGTAAGCTGGGATGCACTATCAATAAACTAAGCGTCGCTCAGCAATTATTAAGGACAAATCGTTGAATAGGGCTTGGAGATCGGGCCTTATCGTTCCCGCGAGTTCGCTGTGTTACGGAAAAGCCGTCGTTCGTATTTTAGAAAAAAATTGAGTGTTTACACGAGAAAAGGGGACCATAAATCCTTCGATCGATCAAGAGAGAGAGAGAGAGAAAAAAATACGCCGGAAACAAGTGATGCTTTTTTCGAACGACGAAACTCAGTAGAGGGAAGCGACGCTCTGGGGTTAACGGTGACGATTTTCAACCTTCGAAAGGGGTTCAAGTCAGAGGTCTACTGGAATGCATCGGAGATGACGCCAGCCGCTTATTCCCCGTCAGTCCTACGTCCCCTGATTCTCGTCACTCGACATGCCGGGAATCTTCGCTGATTCTTCTTGTTTTTTTACGGCCATCGCCTATCTTCTCCGCCATCGTACGTTTGTTGTAGAATGCAGTTGCTAAGTGCCCGCCGACGTAATTTCCGATTTCACTGACGACACTTTTACCAGCAAGCATTACGGCGCCGTTTATCACGAGGCAATCTCCGCTGTTGCCCCGTCCGACCGGTCTGTTACAATCATTACTCTTTGCTATTTTCCATCGTCGCGGTAAGTGGGCTCGCGGAACGCTTTCTGGCACTCTCACCTTGTGACGATTGGCGACAGCTCGTAAAAAAACTATAGAAATCCGTATTTATGTTGCTATAGGAACAACTGACGTTTGAGCTAAACCAACAGACGGATACATCATAAGTTTGTTCTATAAATATACACAAAAACAGACAGCAACGCAGTAGAAAGCTTTTTGGTCCTTTTTCGCAATCAAGCACAGCTCAGCGCGTCTGGGTGTCTCTATACCTGGGCTTATGACTTCTGCAGTGTACATATAAGCTTGATAAAAGTAATATTTTCATTTTTCTATTAAATCTCGGCCGACTAAGTAAGTTCTGTGCTTTCTCTGACTCGTTTTTAGTGCGCGCATTAGCTTGTTGTTAAATACGCTTGAGGACTTATTGCTAATACTTTTTGGTACCATTTCTAATGTGTTCTAAGAAATTAGATATATTTATTTAACCATGTCATTATATGGTAATATATATATATAATAACGTGTTGATTTAAATCAATCAACATACTACACAATGCATTTGTTCATTCACCTCAATGCAGTGTAACGATGGAAACGAAAATGAGGCTGAGCTACTCGGGCAACTTTTTTTTAATTACTTATTTCGATAATCGACTGAACTCCTCCATTTTAATTAATTTTTTACCGTATTGTATCCGTATATATAATGTCTTGTACCCCTAATTAAACTGCAATGACAAGGGTGCTTCGTTTCGTGCTGAGTCACTTACTTACGAAGCGCATTATCTACCCTCATGCTGACTGATGTACAACAACGCCTTCTTTGTTTGAATGCCTTTAATCGAAATGTTTCCCTTCTCTCATACATTTTCTTTTCTAGATTTTTTTTTCTCTACAGTTTTTCTAGCTTTTTTTTTTTTTATTTCTATTTACAGCTCTGTGTTGCTTGGCCTCGTTGACAAGCTGGACGCTAGAGTTTCAATGGAAGCTCTCGCACAATGTCATGTCGCCTGATGAACGGCGACAACAATGGAACTCTGCGGGACTTGCGACCATCGGCTGGTCATTCCTGCTCGTCGTACTCGGCCTTCTCCTTAACCTCTGCAACGTTGTCGTCATTATCCTTGCCGACAAAAAACCATGGCTCAAGCCGCGCACAGTGCCCGTACATCCGAAGGTCAATCAAGGCGCCGTCATAATGCTCTACTAACAAAGCCGGAATTTTAGGTCTATTCAATGTGAGCAAATTGTAGATGGCGAAATCGAACAAAATTGATTCAAAGCAGCCAGAAAGATAGCCAATACGTACCTACTATTTAATCGTTCTAATGATCAGACGTAATCCAGCAGTAAATGTCATTGGTGATTGTTTATATTTATTGAAAAAAGAAACGCTGAAACGTCTTTGATTATATCTAAAGCTTTTTACTCGTAGATGATCGCATAGCATACGTATAGAACTTGGTGAGATTACGTGAAAACTATTAAGGGGAAAACGATAAGTTTCGTAGCATTTAGATAATCGATAGCGCCTGATAGCAGTGCGGTCTTGCATAATTATTTAGAAATATTTGGATCGGTAATGTCGTGCAATGATTTCTTACGAAACAATACACAATTGCATGACGCGCGTGTATAATTATGTTGAATTTATCTAGTAATAATAGGGATAGTTATCAAGATGAGTTAAGTGACAATCGCTCAAAACAACGCAGCGCCATTGTATCTTTGTGAACTCGTTTATGTTCCTCGCACCAGCGGCGCTTGATGAAAAGGTAGAATAGAGAAACACCTTGAAGCCTGGTATGACATGCCCGTTCTGATCTATGATAGAGCTGATATTAACATGGGTACAGTTGGCCAGGCAGCTAATATCATAAAGACGGTTTCTATTTTTGCATAGGGCTGCCAAAGACAACAAACAATCGAGCGCGAACGAAAGACAAAACCACTGTATTCGTTGGATAGGTGAAGGGTAACGAGTGATAAAGCTAAATTATGTCGCGAAATTAAGCAAAAAAAAAAAGGCGAGAAACATATATATGTATATATTTCTCGAGAAACATATTAAATATATTTAAAAGAAATAATTATCGATGACCAGAAATGATGCAGCTTCACGATTACAGATTTTTCTGGAAGGATCGCCACGTGATATGTTTCATCGCCATAGAAACTCTCCAAAAGCTAACTCCATTCCTTTGTATCTCCATTTTGAAGCGCCAAGTTGTGAGGTAGTTCGAGCTCGTCCGTTCGAGTAACAGCTTTTCTCTTGCAGTCATTCTATTGTGGTTAACATCAATAGAAGTTAAACTGGCGAAATTGGTCTAGTTTACATGAATAAATAACGCAGAGATAATAGCAGCGACAACAGCGATTAAATAAATAAATAAATAAAACGCTTGTAAGAATTAGATTCCGACTCTTATTTTCTAATTATATATATATTCAGAGCGACTTCATATCGAATCCATTTTTCGTATACAACTTTAGTCGTGTTCCCTTTCGAGGAATAGATACGATGAGCGAGAATTAGATTTGATCCTATTGTATCGCTGAAGTTTTTTTTCTTCCGCGTATTAGGTAGAAAGGAGAAACTCATCAAGGCTTTTCTGTATGATCTGAAAGACGGTCACAGATCGCGGGAACCGGTATTTATGTGCGTGTGCGTATGTTATTTTTTATCGAATCCGAGATTGGTTGCAGCTAAGATGACAATTGTACGCATTTATTAGCTTTTTATTATTGCTTGCTTCTTGCTTTTTTCTTTCGATGAGCACCCTTGAGCTCGAGTGAGTCTATCCAGATAGTATATATCTGCCTTCGCTTTTCAAAGAGACGCCTCTATGGGGCGGATAGTGGCGTTCGTTGGAAGGATCTGTACCGGTCGTTAATTTACCTTTTACAGAATGGCGGTTAGATACACCTCGTCTACCTGCTACCGCGTCTGAACCTATTGAAGTTACCCGAGATGCCATGCGTCCAACGCGCTAGAGCTGTCGTTACTTAGTGGTAATTGCCAGCGGTCAAGGAAGCTGTTGGGTCTCCGCGGCTAAGCCTAAAAGCCACCGTAGGCTTTCTTTGGTACAGTGCTGCTATTCTGTCCGACGATATGCCTTTTCGACTGGCTGTGTTTCGAGTGTTTAGAATCGGTACCGCTGACCAAGGAAATTTAGAGGATGATCTGGATGAAGTAGGCTAGGTTGCAAAGGCCATTCTAGTATAGAAACTACTAGGCCACGCTAGTATAGAAACTTCGTAACTCATTACGATTCTAATTGATTTGACGGCTTGTTTCAGAGTCAGCTTCAGAAACGTTGAAGTTCTAAGGCGGAAGAGCAATAAACAATTTAGTGTTCGTATAGAGCTTTGAAGTGTTAAACGAACGCATTTTCATATTTCGAAACTGTCAGCTAGCAGCAACGGACGGGCACCAGTACTGAACTTAACCTCTAGAATGAATATTTCCATGTTGCGAGGTTACCAATGCGCCTGTGACTTTGCGTCCTGCTCATCCCTAAGGCCAATGAATCGGTTAAGTTCTTTCATATCTCGTAAGTATGTACGATGTCATTTCTTATATTATCATGAGCCGTCTGCAGACTTAACGTCCATATACATACCATTACTAGGATACAGTTTTAGTCGTTGCTCGAGGATCGGCAGAAATCCAATTTATTCACAATGGGGGAAAGATTTGCAATAAGGAAATCTATGCATTTTAACAATGCATGTGTAAGCAGGCCTTACAGAGGTGTAAGTCCCCATTAATAGATTTGCCACGTTAGGGCGCAAACAGCCATCTCGCTTGGGGCGCTGTAATCCTCGGGGTCTATTGCTTCGGAATTTGTTAGACTCTGTCACTTGGACCTAAATAGGTGCCACTCCTTTATGCAATTGAAATCATATATTCGCTATGTCCTTACAGTTACAATGCGGATGGCGAGGTTATGATGGACATAAACCAGAAACGAACAATGGTAGCTTCACAGCTGGGGCCCTTAGTTTCACCTAAATTCTAG